TTTATTTTGTTTTGTTTTGGTTTTGTTGGTGTCCTTTGGAGCTTCTGTCCCCTCCAGGTCTTTCTGTCTCCCCCTTCTTTCTTAAAATTCCATGCACTCTGCCCAAAGTTTGGCTTGAGTCTCAGCCTCTGGTTCAGAGGTCCTCAGGGATAGGCTCCTGTCATATTCCTTGTCTTCTGCTTCCTATATCTATCACGTTTGTCCTTCTGAATGAGGGTTGAGCATCTTCTGTAGGTTCCTCCTTGTTGTTTAGCTTCTTTAGGACTATAGGTTTTAGTGTATTTATCCTATATTGTACTTCTAATAACCACTTATTAGTGAGTATACACTATGTGTGTCTTTTTGCTTATGGGTTAACTTACTCAAGAATGATCTTTTCTAGTTTTCACCATTTGCCTGCAAATTTCATGATTTCCTTGTTTTTAATTGCTGAGTAGTATTCCACTGTGTAAATACACCACAATTTCTGTATCCATTCCTCTGTTGAGGGATATGTAGGTTGTTTCCTGATTCTGGCTATTACAAATAGAGCTGCTGTGAACATGGTTGAGCAAATGTCCTTTTTGTATAGTTGAGCATGTTTCAGATATTTGCCTCGGAGTGGTATAGCTGGATCGTGAGATTGAAATCTCAGTCTTAATGTGTAGGGTTCGATGTATGATTTAAGCGTTAGTATTTTTCTTTTTTTTAATGAATGTTGGTGCCCTCACCTTTAAGGCATAGAAGTTTAGAATTAAAATGTCATCTTGGTGGGTTTTTCCTTTCATGAATATGAAGTGTCCTTCCCCATCTCTTATGATTATTTTTGGTGGAAGTCTATTTTATTAGATATTAGAGTGGTTACTGTAGCTTGATTCTTGAGTCTGTAGGAAAATCATTTTCCACTGCTTTACTTTGAGGTAATGTCTTTGTTGCTGCAGAATAATGGATCATGTTTTCATATCCATTCTGTTAGCCTGTGTTTTTATTGGGAAATTGAGTCTGTTGTTGAGAGACATTAATGACCAATGTTTGTTGATTTGTATAATTTTGATGTTAGTGGTAGTAGTATGTGATTCCCTTCTTTCAGTTTTGCTTGTGTGAAATTATTTAGTTCCTGTGCTTTCTTCGGTGTAGTTAACCTCCTTGGATTGGAGTTTTCCTTCTATTGTTTAAATTTGGTTTTGTCATGGAATATCTTGTTTTCTCCCTCTAAGTGATTGAAAGTTTTGCTGGATATAGAAGTCTATTAGGTATTGCAAGATCTATGCCCTTTGACTTTTAGAGTCCCTGTTAAGAAGTCAGGTATAATTTTTATAGGTCTGGCTTTATATGTTACTTGACTTTTTTCCCTTGCAGCTTTTAGTGTTCTTTCTTTCTTTCTTTCTTCCTTTTTTTTTTTTGTATATTTAGTATTTTGATTATTACATGGAGGAAGAATTTTGTTTTCTGTTCTAATCTATTTGATGTTCTGTATGTTTATAGGCATCTCTTTTTAGGTGAGGGAAGTTTTCTTTTATGATTTTGCGAAAATATTTTCTGGATCTTTGGGCTGGGAATCTTTATCATATTATACTTTTATTTTTATTATATATTACTTATACAAATAAAGTTCACTGTAAAACAAAACAAACAAACAAATAAAACCTTTTTATCTTTCTGATGATCTCCATCAGTGACCACTCCCTAGATCATTCAAGGAATCTAGTAAAAAGCTCTTCAAAGGGGCCCATGCTCTTACATTCAGAGGCTCAGTCATAGCTAGTATTCAACTTCAAAAACTATCAAGGTTCAATGTGTGATTGTTTTTTTTTTTTTTTCACATTATTTTATTTATTTATTTTTTCATACGGTGTGATTGCCAGGGAAAGGCTGAAACCACTGGTGTTGCTTTCGACATTCCCAGCTGGATTATTAATCTCTCTGTCAAGTCTAATTCCTGACCCTCAATTTAGTTCTGTTTCACAGCTGATGCCTCTATTTGGGCTGGGAATCTTATCCTTCTTTTACTTCTATTATTCTTAGGTTTGGTCTTTTCATAGTGTCCCAGATTTGTTCTGTCAGGAACTTTTCAGTTTTAATATTTTCTTTAACCGATGTATCAGTTTTTTCTATTGTATCTTCTAAGCCTGAGATTATCTTTTCCATCTCTTGTATTCTATTGGTGATGTTTTGGTCTGTAGTTCTTGTTCTCTTAACTAGGTGTTCCTCTGTTTTGTGTTGCTTATTGCTTCTATTTCTGTTTTCAGGTCTTGAACCGTTTTATTAATTTCCTTCACCTGTTTGATTGTATTTTCCTGTATTTCTTTAAGGGATTTATTCATTTCTTCTTTAAAGTCCTCTGTCATTTTCATAAGATTGGATTTAAGGTAATTTTCTGATACTGTGGCTGTGTTAGGACATGCAGTGCTTATTGTAGTATGGTAGCTGGGCTCTGGTAGTGCCATATTGCCCAATTGTGGTTTTTGTGTGGCCTTTAGCCATCTGGGTTTTGCCATTATTAGAGCTTTGGATGCTGATTTCCTAGTTTACCTTTGTTGGGTAGGTGTGTTTTGGGATATTTTTTTCTTGGTTTCTGTTTCCTCTTTGTCTATTGGCGTGAATGGCCTGGAGTTCTGGTGACTAACTAGTCTTCAGATCTAGTGGGGTGTCTTTTTTTGTTTTGTTTTGTGTGTGTGTGTGTGTGTGTGTGTGTTTGCCTGGACTCTGGGATTTTGGGTGCTACCCTTGTCTCTGGGGTCCTCAGTTCCAGCCTGACTTGGTGTGCCTGGTGTTGGAGGAACTCCATCAAAGCAGGCTGGGTTGTGGTCTGGAAAATGGAGTGAAGGGTGTGGAGTGTAGTTTAAGGCTGATGGGTGTGTTTTAAGGAAATAAGGTAGACAAGGGCTTGGGGTAGGATCTTAACCATGAGTCTCTGGCAAATGCAGGCATCCAACAGTGTAAGTAAAGCTGTGAAATTGTGGTGTAGGGTATGGGTTGCAATTTACCTCTGTAGAGGGTGCTTTGGGGAGGGGAGAAAGGTCTGAGGCAGAGGCTTGGAGTGTGGAGGAGTTTACCTGCTATCTGTTGCTGGCAGACCTCCAGAAAAGCAGACAATTACGGGGCAGGAAATGAGGCACAGGGTATGGGGTGCAGTTTACTACGGTTGGAGGTGCTCTCAGGCAGAATTGGTAGACAGGGGCTTGGTGGGGGAAGGGCTTCCCTCTTGTCCCTGGCTCTGGCAGTCTTCCTGGAAAGCAGGCAGAGTTATGGGGCCAAAAATGGGGTGCAGGGTTTGTGGTCTTAATTTATTTCTTAATGGCCTCTTACGTTCACAGTATTGATGGTAGCTTTTCAAGGGACCAAATGATATGTTGGTTACTAACCACCTACTACAGTATCTGGCATGTAGTAGGTACCCACTAGATGCTCAATGAAGAGGCTTTTCCCTGCGAATAAATTAGTGCTCATTTCCTCATAGTTATCTTTATTAGGAAAAAAAAGCTCCTGTTTCCAAAGTTACAGATAAATTTATGTGGTGGTTGACGGGTTGGTTAGAAGGAGAAAAGATGAAAAAAATAGTTTTAATATTATGATAAACCAGATTTTTGTCAGTGCTATCACTTAGTGTTTTGGTTTTCCACAATTGATGATTGTGGCATCTGAACATTTTTTAGCGATTTTTTTTGTTTGTTTGTTTGTTTTTGTAAATTAGAGCTCAGTGCTGTTTAAGGAATAGCAGCTGTGGCCATTATTAGGTCTCAAACCCAAGACAAATTCCTAACTGGTGTCTATATAATCCAGCCATTTTGGTTACTTGGTCCTTTTTATGTGTCTGTCCATCTGTCTCCGTCTCTCTATCTTTACCATTTGCCCTCTTGGTCTTCTGGTCTTCTGGATCTCCATTCTTTCCTCCCCAGTCTCCTCACGTGGCCTAGCTTAGGGTCATGTTCACTCTGGACTCTCCCAGGTGTCTCTGCCTCTGTCTGTGCTCTACATCATATCTACAATAAGCTTTCTTCTCCACCATACCTAGGAATGAAACAGTAATGTCCTTCTTTTATTTATTTTTTTATTGTATTCAGCCAGGAAAAGATAAAAACAAACAAAACCCAGTTCCCTGTTTTCCAAGGCCAGCAGTGTAAATGGGGTGCATGATTCCTATGGTGGTTCAGAAATCTCCTATAGGAACTTTAACCTTCAAAATAAAAATTCAGTAAGATTTTAAATGAAGTCTTTTATGAACTGAGAGAGCATTTTCAACTGATAATCAATTATTAGTATTATATAAGCATGCTAGACACACAAACTTCTAAGTTTTTACAAGTTGGCTAGGTCTCTCCCTCTCAAAGAGCCTTATTCTCTTTTAAGTATTGTGACTATATTTGTCATCCAATTTGATGTCATTAAATAAACACCCTTAGAGGATTATAGTAATATATACAAGAAACTGTTCAATAAAAAAGTAGTGTGCTAGATAACAGCAGTATTAGATATAAAGTCTATACTGTGTATTGAAGCCCAGGAAATATATCTTGCTCATTATTCTCAAAGTTGATAATTAACAATTTGGAAAGAAGCTGCATCTTTGTGAATGTAAAGTAGAGTGTGAATAAATTAATGTAACTATAATGTAAAAATTTCACAACTGTCTTAATTGCTAAATTATCTTGTAAGTAATTAAACTATTTCTAGGCATATATGCTTGTGTTTGTGCATCCTGTCTTCAGGTAATAACTGTGCTTGGATGCGGCACAGTGAGTAGATGTGCTTTGGACTTTGTCATGGTGTGTGAGTTTACATAGGTGATGCCACAGTCTGTTCACTCTTCTAATTCAGGCTAATTCTGAATGAATGCTGTATTAAATAGGTATATTTATTGTTCACAGTTTATAAATGTGGAAATTGGGGCACAAAGAAGTTAAAAATTTTCCCAGTATTAAACAGTTGGAAATGATAACTGAAAGTAAGTTTTATACATGTTAAAATATTTTTTAAAAATTCTAATATTGAGTCTTGTGTTCTCTTTAACATTTTTCTAGTTGACTTGGAGCACATGCGAACAGTAAAACCCGATAAACACTTACGATTTTGCCAGGAAAATGGGTTTAGTAGCCACTTTGTTTCAGCCAAGACGGGAGACTCTGTAAGTAAAACAGTGTAGTGTGCTGTAAGTCATGCTTTGTCTGTCTAATGCTCCTGGGGAGTTCACATCTGCTTCCTAACAAGGGACACGGTGATGCATTTGGAAGGAAGACATAAATAGAACAGATGAGAATGCTTATTTTGGTTAGATTAATTTTATAGTTGATTTAATATGAATTATAAAATACCCAAGTCACTCATAATGCTGGCCTTCAGAGATGATCTTTCAACCCTCAGAATTCCTTTGTGCTCTTTCTCTGACTGTGCTTACTCCTAGCTTACTTTGTGATGACCGGTGTATTAGTTTGATTATGTTTAGAGTTCATGTCACAGGGCTCCCTCTACATAGATATTAAATGGTAGAGATACAGTTTGTGAGCACAGGTAATGACATTTCAGGCCTACCATTTCAACCAAAACAATGTTCATTAAGAATCAAGATCATGGTCTAGAAATGGTTTTTTATAGTGTTTCTTTTATTTAACATTTTTATCTGTAAATAATTTTTCTGTGTCATTTAATGTTATAAAATAAATTTAGTCATGTTCAAAAATATATTTAATCATGCACTGTTGTTGGACATGTAGGTTTTTTTTTCTAAGTTTCAAATGTGGTTTTATTATGAAATTTTGTTAATAATTTTTGATGCTTTATTTCCTTTAGATAGATTCTTTGACATGGGATTGAAACATATTGCCAGATGCTCACCAGAAGAATAAATTAACCTAGTATTGTAAGATTGCTATACTGCTGGCCCTTGTAATACTAAGGATTTAATTTAATACCACTGCCCCAGTGGCATTAAATAACCTCACTAATTTTTTAGGTTGAAACTTATAGTTTTATTAACTATTCACTTTCTACCTAACCACTTATTTTTGTTATTGGTTTTAAACAATACTATGGCCATATTCATATTAGAATAAACTATTGCTACAAGTCTTGCAAATAGTTGTCCCTGTCAAGTTTTTTTTTTGTTTGCTTTTAAGACATTTTGTTGTTGTTGTTGTTGTTCTGTAGAATGGGCTAGCCTTAAACTCCGAGACCCACCTGCCTTTGCCTCTTAAGTGCTCGGATTAAAGACATCAGATACCATGCCTGGCTTATGTCCAGTGCTTTGTTTGACTTAGTTTTACTTTTCCTTTGTTTTGGTGTTAGGGCTTAAATCTAGGGCCTTACGTATGACTGCTAATTTAAAAAAAAAAAAAGGATTGTTTAAAGATTTATTTATTTTTGTTTTTGTGTATGTGCTTGCCTGTGTGAGGTTTTGTTTGTTGTGTTTTTCCATGTTTCTCATGTGTGAGCAGGACCCCACAGAGGCTAGAAGAAGGCATGGGATCCGCTGGAACTGGCATTACAGATGGTTGTAAGCTACCATGTGGGTGATGGGAAATAACCCGGGGTCCTCTGGAGCAGTAAGTGCTTGTAACTGCTGAGCCATCTCCAGACCCTCGAAATAATCAAGTTAGTAAACATGTGACTTGTATTCAGTAAGTGACTGGGCTAGGAACGTGCTAGGACAGTTATGGATCAAAGGTAAGTTATATGACAGAAATGGTCAGGCCTGAAGCTCCTGAGATTGTAGAGGACCTGGCAAAAGCCAACCACATATGAAAGGATGTTTATAGAAATGTTCATAATGTGTAGCTGTAACGGACTCTATCATCCTTTGACCCCTATCCTGATAAAATACAGTAAATATTTCCAAGTTGTTATACTTAGGGAATAATGGAGAGTTTTGACATTGATAAGACAATGAAAAGAGTGTTAATGGTTTGGAAAGCAAGATCTGTTAAAACAGACTAAAGTCAGTTCAAGAGACCAGCATAGAGCTGACAATCAAACGCCAGAACAGTAAAGTATATGTTATTTTCATCTTCTTCAGGAATTGTGGTAGTTTATTATGCTATTAAATGTGTGTTCTTTACATCTGTCATTGTAGTTGTTATGTTAAATCCTTAAAAATGGGGCTAGAGATATGGCTCAGGTGTTAAGAGCACTTGCTACTCTTGCAGAGGACCGGAGTTTGGTTCCCATCATCCACATGGTGGCTCACAACCATCTGTAAATCCATTTCTAGGGGATCTGACAACTGCTTCTGACCTCCATAGGCACTAGGTACACATATACATGTAGGCAGAACACTCAAACACAAAAAATAAAAATAAATCTTTTTAAAAATCTTAAAAATACATTTTTAGTAATAAATGCATGTTTAGACTAATTTAGTGAATTGCTTGGTTTTTAAATTTGAGGTTTAATTCTTTAAAAATGATTTCATTTTGTGTGTTGCCATGTTTGACAAATGAAACTGTTTTTGGAATACTTGCTGTTTATGGTTCTTTAGAAAGTTCAGTATATTTGAAGTTAACTGAAGCATGCCTGTTTTAAATCACTTAAACCCATTTTTGTTATGTAGGTCTTCCTGTGTTTTCAGAAAGTTGCCGCAGAAATCCTGGGAATCAAACTAAACAAAGCAGAGATAGAACAGTCACAGGTGATTATATTAAAGTTTATGTTTAAAAAGTAACACATTTCTTATGACAATTTTATGTATAGATTGTTCCCCATTTATTCTATTTACATATCACCCAAAACCTTGGAAGTAGATTAGATGTATAAATGAGTATTTATTGCAGATGATGAAAAATTAATTTTTACAAAATTATAGTCTTGTAATTTTGTTCCTTTTGGTGAAAAAAAATGAATAAAATTTTTATCAGTTCTTATTTAATGGATTTTAAGGTTCAGTGAATCCTGTTTTTATGCTTCTTGTTAGAGAGAACCTCACTCTATAGCCTGGTTGGCTTCTTCCTGCCTTCCCCTCCCAAGTGCAAGGATTATAGGATCTGCTTGCACTTTAACTTCTTTAGGGTTATTTGTTCATCTTTAAAATAATGCAAAAATATTATTTCTTTATATTATTTTGCTAGTTTAATAACAATATTAGTTACTGAAGGTTTCAGTGCTCTTTTAGTATTCCTAGACCTGCTTATAAATAAATAGTCAAATATCAGGAGTCAAGAGATTAAAATTGCAATTCTATCTGTTTTGTAAGTTACACATTTAAGAGAATGAAAACTTTGAGCAGGAGTAATCTGGTTAGAAGCAACAAACTAACATTATTTCCTAAATACCGCCATCCCCCATTCCCTGCAGCTGAAAACAATTGGTATCTTTTCACATCTTTCAATATTTACTTGATTATTTTATAAATTAGTTCTGTGATGTACTCTCATTGCCATTCCAATGTGAAAATTTGTGTTGAAGCAGTTAGAACTAGATCTATTTTCTCACCCAATAGCCTCCTTTTACTTTTGTATCATGTATGTACATGTATAAGCATATATATTTTTAAATATCATGTTGGATAATTTATCAAGGCATATGATAGAAAATGTAGTGTTTATCTTTGTGATTCTGGCTTATTCCTCTTAGCACCCTCATTTCCAGTTCTATCTGCTTTCTTAAAAATAGAATACTTTCATTCTCCTTGCTGGCTGAAATGAACCACACAGTATATATTTATTCATCCCATCTCTGTATATGTTCACTTGTTGCTTGATACCGAGGCTGGTCCCAAGTCATGCCTGTTGTGAATAGTTCTTCTATAAACATGGGTGTGCAGATATTTGTGTAGTATGCTGACTTAGATTTCTTTGTGTGTAGCTCAACTATATCAGTTTTAGTTTTCGTAGTAGCTTCCCTAGTTTATACTCCCACCAGCAGTTTATAAAAACATCCAATTCCATGTTTGCCAGAATTTATTTTTATTATTATTTTTAACCAATGGCCATTCTGACTGGGATGGCAGGGAATTTCAGTGTAGTTTTGATTTGCTTTTTCCTGATGGCTAAGAATGTTGAAAATGTTTGCATGTATGTACTGGTCATTTGTATTTCTGTATATATCTCTGTATAACTAATTCCATTGCTTGGGTGTTGTGAATAGTGTTGGAATAATCATGGATGTGCAGAGATCGTTATGATATGTTGCCTTAGGTACTAAAAATAAAAATAGTTGGATCATGTGGTAGGTCTGTTTTAGTTCTTAAAGACTCTCCATACTGATTTTCACACTATCTGGAGTAACTTATATTCCAACAAGCTATGCTCTCTCTCTCTCACACACACACATGCTTGCCAGTATTTATTGTTTTTTTTCTTTTTTCCATCCATCCATCCATCCATCCATCCATCTATTCATCCATCCATCCATTCATTTATTCATTTAAATATTTAATCTCTTTACAGCCTGATCCCAGCCCCCTTCCTCCTCTCCTCTCATTCCTACTCTCACATCTCCTCTCCATATTCCCCCTCTCCTTCTCAGAGAAGGGGAGGTCTCCAAGGGGTACCAACCTGTCCTGGTACCTCAAGTCACAGTAGGACTAAGTGTGTCTTCTCCTACTGAGGCCAGACAAAGCAACCAACTAGTGGAAAGGGATCCAAAAGCAGGAAACAGAATTAGAGACAGCCTTTACTCTCATTGTTAGGGGACACTCATGATGAGCAAGCGACATCTACATATGTTCAGCAAGTCTAGATCCAGCCCATGCTTGCTCTTTGGTTGGTGGTTCAGTCTTTGTGACCCCCCCCCCCCCAGGGGCCAGGTTTGTTTACTCTGTAGATCTTCTTGTGGTGTCCTTGATTCCCCCCCCCCACACACACACACTCACTCCTTCCTCCCACTATCCCACAAAACTTCCTAGCTTGGCCTATTATTTGGCTGTGGGTCTCTGTATCTGTTTTCATCAACTGCTAGATGAAGCCTCTCAGAAGACAGTTATGTTAGGTTCCTGTCTACAAACATAACAGAGTATCATTAATAGTGGCTCTCTCCCATGTAGTGGGTCTCAAGTTGGACCAGTCATTGGCTTGCCATTCTCTCAATCTCTGCTCCCTCTTTATCCCTACTGGCAGAAAAGACAGATTTGGGGTTGAAGGTTTTATAGGTGCATTGGTGTCCCCCTCACTCCACTGGAAGTCCCACATGGCTATAGGACTTCAGGCTCTATATCCCCTGCTGCTAAGAATCTTAGCAGATGCTCTTTGAGGAGGTGAGAGTGAGGCTGGTGCTATTCACCCATGTGGCTCCTTTACTCTTTGGGCCACTTCATTGTTTTTCTCCATTAACCAAAACCAGAAACTGAATGTATGTTATGACTTCAAAAATAAAGGCTGGTGTTTTGTGGATAATATTTCTCTTCAAAAATTAAAAGTTGTGTAAATAAGTTAACCATTGTGAATCTACCTACCATGAAGTTTATGGTATGGAAGTGCAATTTTTCTATTCACAATAAGCAAAGCTTTTGTGATCTTCAAAGCCTTTGCTGCAGCTTCAGGTTTGGAGACATGTCATTCACAACAGACCACAAGGAAAATTTTGCCTTGTGGATTACGTGTTAATATCTTTGACCCCAATGTCTTACACACAGGTCAGGAACCTGGCCATGTTTATAAATAATGCTTAAAACAATGTTTTGCTTAATGAATGACTTATTTACCAGTGGTGAGAATCCCTTTTCTTCATTGTAGCCCATAGTTTGGTATGAAACAGGTATATTGAGAGTATTATAGTGTGCCTTTTAAGGATGTGCCCTGCTTGCCTCGCATTTGTCAGTTGGCAATACTTCTGTTGCTAACATCAGGCCAAGTGCCTGGTAAGTAAAGAGTCTTGTCCAGAAGTTAATACTGCCCACTAGAGAACTTATGCAGAACCCAACTAACCCCACACGTATACTGCAGAGCCCTGTTCATTTACTCTCACTGTTTATCAAATATGTAGTAAGGAATTTCTTCACAGACAGCTACTCATGTTGAGGTGTTTTCATTTTAATAAATGAATATAAGCTTTTAGGAAGAGAGAAATTTCTGAAATCAGGTCTGGGCAGTCATGCAGAGAGTATTCCTGCTTCATATCTAAAGATGCAAGGAACTTATTACTTCTCTATACATGGTTGCCTCATGGAGTCCTAAGAAAAGTTTTAGTTTTAGTTGTTCCAAGGAAAGGACAACTAATGTGTAGTACTGTGGATTTGTTTATTTAGGAAAACTCTTGAAAGCCAACAGCTGTTGTGCTTTAATACTGTATTTAATGATTTTTTTACATGACTCAACTGCATTTGAGGTGATTTCTATATGAACTTTGGAAATATGGAGGTTTGGATTAGGTGGAATGGCAAGTAAGCAGCAGAAGAAACCCTGAGAAACTAAAAATTAAAAAGATATGAAAACTGTATGGGGCACGTGGCTACCTTTGATTTCTGAAACAACAGTTTTCCTCCTCCCTTGTGTCCCCACAGCACCACATTCACTAGCAAAACGCTTAAACTGGGTGATAATTGGTTGTGTATTCTTTGCCCATTAGGTCTACAGCAACAAGTGAGTAACTTTTTCAGGTGGTTCAGTCATGCGCATCTAGCAGAGTGACTGACATAGTAGACCATCAGTAATGTTTGTCAAAGGAAATGAACACATACTTTTATTTCAGTTTAGCATAGACAAATCCAATAATTCTTCATAGCCCTCTGTAATGCTGAGAAGTTTAAGTCATCTACTTCAGTGGCTGAACAGAATTACAAACTAATGTTTATTGAGTCTCTCTTACTTTTCTTTCCTTTTATGTGTGAACATCCTGCTGATTCTTTTGTGACATGTTTAAATTTATGTGTTAATTTTCTTTTCCTGCTTTGGTATTCCTTTCTATTGTCAGTCATTAAACATGCTTTTCATTTTGTCTTTCTCTTTTTCTCTCTCTTTTTTCTTTCTCCTTCATCTTTTTTATGTGGTACGGAATTGACAGCGTATTGTCAGGGCAGAGATAGTCAAGTACCCGGAAGAAGACAATCAACAACCCAGCTCTTCTCAGAGTAGAGTCTGTTCAGTACAGTAGTGCAGGTACTTATGGGTGAAGTACTGCCATTTGGGGAAAGGGGTGGGGGCTAGTTATTTTATCTTGTTCTTCCTTACTGAGGAACATTATAAATTAAAATGACGTCATGGTTTAGAACTTTGAAAAATTGGTTCTTTGCCAGGAAACTTGCAAATTAAACAAGAAATGGAGAACAAATTAAAATGCCATTTCAGTTACTTTCAAATATGTTTATCTTTATGGGTGTTTATTACACACTTAGTGCAGAGGATTGAAACAGTTATTTCAGTAGTAATTTCTTAACCATTTTCACTCTAAAATAGATGCCAATTGAAAGGTTATTATAAATTTCTAAAAGAAAGGCTTGAATTGCTTTTTTTTCTCTCTTTGTGTGTGCATAGATGTTGTAGAAGTTGAAACCAATAGAGGGTTTGTTTTAATTTCAATTTTTTTCTTAGAAGTGGAATATTAGACATTTTGCTAAATTCAGTTTTTCAGATTGAGCATGAGATGGAAGGAAATGTGAAAGTATCTTTTGCTTTAAATTGATTTATATGTATGGATATATAAGGTGATTTTTTTTTTAAAATTCCTCATTATGTCATGTTTTATTAGAGTCATTATGCATAACCCAGAGTGAACTGTTTGGAAGTAAGTGTTTGGAGAGGAATGTTTTGACAACGGGAAACATTTTTCACAGTAGGGTTTTTCAGGGCTCTTCTGCTTTATATATGAGTCCTTTAAAACACACCTTCTTTTCTAATTCACGAAGTTATGGCCAAGTGTAGTGATTATGAAAAGACTGAAAAATAATGAAGTGGTGATATCTATTAACTAAATATGCATGAATGATTTAAACTTTGACAAAATTATAACCAGGGTTTAAATCTTCATATTAATTTGTGAGTGTTTAATAAACTTGTGATAACCCCAGTTAATAGTAAAGTTGATAACTGAATTGCTTCCTTAAAAAAAAAAAAATAAAAGGCAAACAGGAAAACCCCAAACCTCGCTGTTTATTAATTCTGACTGATTGTTTTTGATACCAACTCATGCTTTATCTATGATATCTGTTATTAGACATTCACGAGAGCTCAGAAAACAATAGATGCTCAGGGGCTTTTTCTGATGTTCTAATAATAACTCTTTTCTTTTATGACAGAGAGTGGTAAAGGCAGACATTGTGAACTACAACCAGGAGCCCATGTCAAGAACTGTTAACCCGCCTCGGAGCTCCATGTGTGCAGTTCAGTGAGCACACACTGTATTGATAGTTCTGGCTGTTCTTCCCCTGGAATGGACCAGGCTGTCTAGGAACATATTTTACCAGTGACCATCTCTGTAGTCAGCTCACACTTTCCTCCTGCTGAGCTCCTTCATCCTTAAGTTGCCTCGTAGTAGTAGGCAGCTCCCCAGACTGGAAGAAATTCAGCTTTGGGACCATGCATTTTGAAATTGGAATGGAGAGTCCATTCTCTGGACTGAGCCCACATCCTTGCCTTTTTGATCCAGAAGGACCGTGTTGCTTCTTTATGTCCTCACTTCTTTTCTCTCAGATTAAAATAATAATAATAATAATAACCAGATAGGAAGATGCTCCAAGCTTTGGTCATCCTTTTCTATCTGAACTTGTGTATGTGAAAATGTACTTCAGAGCACTGATGGTGAAACAGTTACTCAAGAAGGTGTTTGCTTGCCGGCTACTAAGAGTACAATATACAAAGCTGCATCTAATTGAAAGTGCTTCAAATGAGGCTGTAATAGAAATATTTTTTCATTTTTAAAAGGAGCCTAACTTGTTTATATTGTAGTTTATAACTCACAAGTAGTGAGTATTTGATATTGTATTTTTATTACTGTATCATGGTCATTGCATATTTTATCATACTTGGTTTAGATGACTTTATGAAATTGGATAAATGGTTCAGCTGATCCTTCACATGGAATTTCTCGTACAGACTGCATGAGAGTGCTTCCAGATGAGTCATGACATCCTTGGATCATTGTGGATCGAACACATTATACCTGATGTTCAGATGTTTTTCTCACATAAATAAATTTATTTAAATTACATTTTCTGGAATTTTCACTTATCTGTCTTCCTTTTTGTTATAGAAAAACAAAGTAGATTTGAACACATGCCTAGCAATCCTATGACGTCTTGTGTGCAGTTACTTAAGAGTTCCCAGTTATTTTGTTGGACTATCTGTATTTCTGAGCTTACAGCCTGCCATTTATGGGCCTCCATCAGCCCCAGCTCATTTTCTACCTAGCTAATGCCACTCTTGCCTCTGTGCACATAAAACTGTGGATTCATTCCTATCTATTCCTGATACTCTGCCTTCTGTTGCAGATGCATGGGTCCCACTGCTAGGAATCCTCCTCTCCCTTTCTGCCTTCCCCTCTTCTGTCCACTCTTTCTCCCCTCACCCTTCTTCTCCCACAATGTCTCCAGCTGTGTCTTGGTCATAATTGTGCTGTGTTTGCACAAGTTTTGACCACTAAGATGAAAACAAATTAACCCCCCTTCCATCTTCTGTATGTCAATTAAGTGTGAGCAGGTAGTGAGAATCTCAGTACAGGTAAAGCAAACACAAGTTGAGGGGAAGCAGGTTTCTGAATTCTATATAACCAAGTTTTCTTACACCTCCAGGTTTAATTTTGAAATGATAATGTAGAATCCATGCTCATATTACTTTGACTGTCACCTCTCCTGTTTACAGTTTTTAATTTAAGAATTTGTAGGGATTTTTTTTTTCGATCTTGTTTTAGACACTTTCTCTTTTTAAAATTTTTTACAGTTTATTATTTTTGTTTATTTATTTATTACAGTTTATTCACTTTGTATCCTGGCTGTAGCCCCCTCCATCTCCTCCCAGTCCTACCCACCCTCCCTCTTCTCCCCCTATGCTCCTTCCCTAGTCCATTGATAAGAGAGGACCTCCTCCCCTTCTATCTGTTCCTAGCCTATCAAGTGTCATTAGGGCTGGCTGCATCATCTTCCTCTGTGGCCTGGCAAGGCTGCACCTCCCAGGGGGAGGTGATCTCAAAGACCTGGCCACTGAGTTCATGTCAGAGACAGCCCCTGATCCCCTTATTAGGGAACCCACTTGGAAACTGAGCCAACTATGGGCTTCCTCTGAGCAGGGGGAAGATGTTAAACCATACAGTAAGGACATTTACTCAACTATGTTCATAGCAGCATTATTCATAATAGCCAGAATATGGAAACCTAGATGTCCCTCTACTGAAGAATGGATGCAGAAATTGTGGTACATTTACACAATGGAATACTACTCAGCAATTAAAATCACGGAAATCATGAGATTTGCAGGCAAATGGTGGGAACTAGAAAAGATCATCCTATATACTCATAAGCGGATATTATCCATATACTGTAGGATAAACACTAAAACCTATAGTCCTAAAGAAGCTAAACAAGAAAGAGGATCCTAGGGAAGAGGCTGAAACCTCACAAAGAAGGGCAAACAGGATAGACATCGGAAATAGGAGAAGACAAGGAACAGGACAAGAGTCTTCCACAGGGGTCCTCTGAAAGACTCTTCCCATCAGGGTATGGAAGGAGATACTGAGACTCATAGCCAAACTTTGGGCAGAGTGCAGGAAACCTTATGGAAGAAGAGGGATACAGACCAGGAGGGGACAGGAACTACACAAGACCAATAGAGCCAAAAAACCTGGGTGCAGGGAGACCTCCAGACACTGATACTCCAACCAAGGACACTTTGTCTCTTGAAAGCACATACTATAATGTTCAGTCATATTGTGGTCACTTCTGTTCCTTATTGGGTTTTTGAAAAATACGAATGTCTTTAGCTAGAACTGGTCATTGGATGCTATTCCCAACTGCACCCTCTATTACATGTGGCAAACCACTCTGTAGTAGTTTTTGGAGTGGCTTGAAGAACTCCTGTGACTGCTTTATTATTCCAGGAGGAGGAAAGCCAGGGGCCTTTAAAGTTTATCACTGAAACAGTGATAAAGCATGATAAAATAAAATAGAATGTTTAAATGTTTGTGATGTTTAAAATAGAAAAGGGCTTTCCCATAACCTACCCTAATGTGGCTGTAATGCTGGATGTCCTAAACAGTTTTTAAGATTCAAGGAAACAGCTTCTGGCTATTACAAATAAAGCTGCTACAAACATGGTTGAGCAAATGTCCTTTTTGTGTACTTGAGCCTCTTTTGGGTATATGCCTAGGAGTGGTATGGCTGGATCTTGAGGAAGCGCTATTCCTAGTTGTCTGAGAAAGCACCAGATTGATTTCCAGAGTGGTTGTACAAGTTTACATTCCCACCAGCAGTGGAGAAGGGTTCCCCTTTCTTCACAACCTCTCCACCATGTGTTGTCCCTTGAGTTTTTCATCTTGGCCATTCTGATGGGTGTAAGGTGAAATCTCAGGGTTGCTTTGATTTGCATTTCCCTAATGGCCAATGAGGTTGAGCATTTCTTTAAGTGCTTCTCTGCCATTCGATATTCCTCTACAGAGAATTCTCTGTTTAGCTCTGTTCCCCATTTTTAAAGTGGATTACTTGGTTTACTGCTTTTCAGCTTGTTTAGTTCTTTATATATATTGGATATGAGTCCTCTGTCAGATAAAGGGTTGGTGATGATTCTTTCCCAATTTGTAGGCAGTCGCTTTGTTTTGATGACGGTGTCCTTTGCTTTACAGAAACTTTTCAGTTTCATGAGGTCCCATTTATTGATTGTTGCTCTTAGAGCCTGTGCTGTTGGTGTTCTGTTCAGGAAGTTTTCTCCTGTACCAATGAGTTCTAGGGTATTCCCCACTTTTTCTTTTCTAGCCGATGTAATGTGTCTGGTTTTATGTTGAGGTCTTTGATCCACTTGGACTTCAGTTTTGTGCAGGGTGATAAGTATGGATCTATTTTCATTTTTCTACATGGAGACATCCAGTTGGACCAGCACCATTTGTTGAAGATGCTATCTTTTTTCCATTGTATGGTTTGCCCCTCAACTGAAGAATGGATGCAGAAACTGTGGTACATCTATACAATGGAGTATTACTCAGCAATGAAAAATAAGGAAATTATGAAATTTGCAGGTAAATGGTGGGACCTGGAAAGGATCATCCTGAGTGAGTTGTCCCAGAAGCAAAAAAGACACGCATGGTATATACTCACTCATATAAACATACAACATAGAATAAACCCACTAAAATCTGTACATCTAAACAAACTAAGCAAAAGAGAGGACCCTAACTAAAATGTTCAATCCCCATCCTGAAAGGCAAAGAGGATGGACATCAGAAGAAAAAGAAAATAGGAAACAACCTCAGAACCTGCTACAGAGGGCCTCTGAAAGCCAGAAGAAAAGAGGAAACAACCTTGGAACCTGCCACAGAGGGCCTCTGAAAGCCTCTGCAGTATAGACTGTCAAAGTAGATGCTGAGCCTGATGGCCAACTGATGGGCAGAGTGAATGGAATTTTATGTAAGAAGTGGGAAATAGTAAGAGCTGGAGTGGACAGGAACTCCACAAGGAGAGCAACAGAACAAGATAATTTGAACACAGGGAACTTCCCAGAAACTCATACTCCAACCAAGGACTATTTGTGGAGATAACCTAGAACCCCTGCACAGATGTAGCCCATGGCAGTTCAGTGTCCAAGTGGGTTACATAGTAATGGGAAGAGGGACTGCCTCTGACATAATCTGATTGGCCTGCTCGTTGAACACCTCCCCCTGAGGGGGGATCAGCCTTACCAGGCCATGGTAGAGGACAATGCAGCCACTTTTGATGAAAACTGACAGACTAAGATCAGAAAGGAGAGGAGAACCTCCCCTATCAGTGGACTTGGGGAGTGGCATGCATGCAGAAAGGGGAGGGAGAGTGGGATCGGGAGGGGAGGAGGGAGGGGCTTATGGGGGGATACAGAATGAAAAAAGTGTAATTAATAAAAAATTAAAAAAAAATCCAAGGAAAGAGAAATGCAGGTATGGTATGGTACTTGTCCATCAGCAGTCAGAGTTCTTCCATTCTTGATAGAGTCTCTGCCTTTCCAGCCACTCTTATGTCTAGGGTCTTCATTAGCTTAACCCATTAGGACACAGACTGTTTTGTATCAGTGATTGGTTCAGAAAGAAGTTGACTAAGGAAACAAGAAGATATGTGCTGAGCTATCTGAAATAGAAGAAAATAAAGCAGCAACAAAAGCTCAGAATGAACTATTCAGCCAAATAACAACAACAACAAAAAGGAGATTTCAGAAACTGTTTACCTAGTGGAGTAAGATGAAAAAGGATATAGCTCTGAGGGATGTTGGCAGCCATCTTGAGATCACAAAGGAAAAGTCTGCCCAAGGAAGGCAGTAGGGCTCATGGTATAGAAGCAGGATGGGGGAGAATCAGCCATAATGCATTTCTGTATCAAGCTGTGCCTTGAGCTGTTCAATAGTATTTGTCAATTTTCTGTTATCATTTGTCCTAATGTTTGTTTCTTTTAAAACCATTTTCTGTACTAGAGGTCTTTGCTTAGATTCCCAGACAGACATCAAGTTAGATCCTTATTTTGCCCTTTAGATCTAGGCACCTGAAAGTGTAAAATCCTTTGTTATGAAAAAGTATCCCTCAAGGAGAAGCATGGTTAAAAATAGATTCTTGGTAGGAGCAAACAGGACCAATAGCAAAGCACAGCCACCATCAAAAAGTCATGTAATCTTAGTTTGCATTCAGTGTAAGCACCTGCGTGGTCTGGAGTTAGCAGGGCAGCAGGACTTGAGGTTCTGCATTTACATTAAACTTTCAAATGATGCTTATGCTGCTGGCTTTTTTTTTTTTTTTAATCTGGTTTGTAAGGGATTGGACTGCCTACACTTTTCCCCTTATGGGTGTTCATTTTGAAAGGATAATAGCGTGAGAGGATTTGACCTTTTATGAAAGAGTTGAAAGAAGACTATGGTTAGTATGGAAAAGAGAAGGCCAGGGTAAGATGGCCAAGATAGTGGTATTCAGATAGATTAGAATGGGTTCTAGCCAAGGACCATTCACGGAGATAACCTAGAACCCCTGCACAGATGTAGGCCATGGCAGCT